CTTTTATCCACATTCATCCTTTCTTCTTCTTCTTTTTGTTCTCCTATTGTCCGCATCCTTTCTTTCTTCTTTGTCTTCTTCTCTTCTACTTCTTCTTCTGCTTCTTCTTCTTCTTCTTCTTCTACATTCATTTTTTCGTTTTTCTTTCTTCTTTTTGCATTCATTTTTTCTTTCTTTTTTTTTTTTGTCCGAATTCATTCTTTCTTCATCTTGTTCGTCTGCTTCTTCTTCTACATTCATTTTTTCTTTTTCCTTCTTTTTGCATTCATTTTTTTCTTTCTGCTTTTGTCCGCATTCATTCTTTCTTCTTCGTGTTCTTCTGCTTCTTCTTCTTCTTCTTATTATTATTATTATTATTATTATTATTACAGAAAATATAACAATAACAACGTTTCAGACAATTTACTTCTCCGGTCCTCCGCAGCCATTTTTGGCTTCCTCTTTCATCCGATTTTATTTTTTAATTCTCTGAATCTCATCTTTTCCCAAACTGTAGCATTCAAATCTCAGAGAATCATGCTGACGCCATAAATATTATTTACAAATCAGTTAACCCTTCCTAAAGAAGAACGGCAAGATTTAAAGAAAATAAGTAGACACCCAAAATTAAGAAACTATTGGCCGTTATATTGCAGCAAAAACAATAAACATCAGGATACTTGAAATAATTATTAATGAAACAATTAAAACAAAAATTATTAATTGTAGAAATTCATTTAACCTGATTCATGACTTAGGTCGATTCGTTCTTGCATGCAAAAACTTTCTGTCATATATCCCAGCATGCAATATTTGTAAAATGACTTCGTGAAGATGACAGGCGATAGTACTGGATTTTAAAAGCCACAATTAGTTGATAATCTCCAAAGTGAACTTGTTTTATTGCGTCCCATTTTATTTTGCTATTTTTTTTTTTTTTTTTTTTTTTCCATTTGTACAATTTCGGGCGTTCGGGTCTCATAACAACATACCCCTTCCCTACAGTGACACAATTGATATTGATCCGATATCGATTTGTGTGCCAGCCGTCAGCTATAACTCTCCTCACAATGGAGCGCTCCTAACCCACTGCGACGAAAGAAATTTACACACATTCATTTAAAAAAAAAAAACTCTCAATGTGTCTGTTGGGTCGGGAAAATACGAAGTACTGGAGAAGAACTAAACATGTAGTAGATTTTAGCCAAAGATCAACTTATGGGAAGCTGGTTCGGGGTATCCTAATTCTGATCCCTAGTCAAGCCTAGATCTAGTTTTAATTCATACCCAAGACCCGCTCACGAATCCCCTCAAGAAAACAATAAAATCTGCACCCTCAACACTAAGTATTAACCCCAATTTCTTCGCAACATCGAACCTTGCCAGTACCTAGATGGGTGACTGATTGGGAATAACAGATGGTGTAAGGTTGGATGTGCGGGTGGTGTAATGGATAAGGGCTTGGAAGTGTTAATCGGAGAGCCAAGTTCCAATTCCGGTTGGGTTCGTTATATTCACTTACGTGCAAATACTTTTGGGAAAGGTATTAATCTACTAAATCTCTCCCCAGCTATGGGTTAATTAGTAAGACTTGTATCACTAAAACATTATTATCTGCCCCCGACAAAAAATTCTTATAATCTAAAAAAAATTCTGGCTTTAAATAACCTGCAAGACCTGATAAGGCGTAGAAAACGAATATATATATATATATATATATATATATATATATATATATATATATATATATATATAGTGGCTGGCCACTCGTGTGTGTGTGTGTGTGTACGTGCGTGTGTCTACCTGTGTGTGTAACGTTATCGTTGTACATTTTAATAAGAACACCAAACTTGATCTCCCTCAGTCACTTTTTCACAGACGCGCCGTCACCTCCCTCTGTCTGTTCTACAAATACTTTCATGGAAATTGCTCCTAGGAGCTGCATTCACTGGTTCCCAGACATCATGAGTTCCAGCGCCTTACGAGGCTGGCATCCCGCTCTCACCCTTTCACTGTCGAAACTCCTAAATGTAGCCGTCTCTTCTACTCTAATAGCTTCATGTCTCTCACCTCTCGCCTGTGGAACTCCCTTCCCTATTCCTGTTTCCCTGTGAGCTATAATCTCCAGCTATTCAAATGTAATGTCAATCGACATCTCCAGTTGCCTTGATCTATCCACTACCCTCATCCTTTCTTCTATCACTCTTATCTGATCTTGCTCTAAACTTTCTGTAACCCCTTGCTTCCTAGTCGCTTCCCGCCTTGCTTGGGATGAAATGCTTAAAAAAAAAAAAAAAAACATCAAATTTTTATTCAATCCCGACTTCATTTATCCTCTCTCTCTCTCTCTCTCTCTCTCTCTCTCTCTCTCTCTCTCTCTCTCTCTCTGTGTGTGTGTGTGTATGTATTTGTATGTGTGTGTGAGAGAGACAGACAGACAGAGACAGACAGATAGACAGAGAGACAGACAGAGAGAGAGACTTGGTGTTTTCTCCGCACCCACATTCACACCAGGACATTCTTTTCTTTCCCCTCTCGAGTGGGGTTTTCCTTATATCTACCTGCCCCGCGGTTTTTTGCACATCCTAGGTACCAGCTGGGTTGTCTACGTGTTTACATATCGGGGACAGCCGCTGTCATCGGACGAAGCACAGATCTGCCGCTTGTGGTTTGGGAGTTACCGCTCAGGTCCAACCGCCGATGTAACTGGCTTCTCGGAAGGACACTGATTGCTAAGTCTATTTTAGCCTCATCTGTGGTGAGACACATTTATCTTACATTTTATGCTTATGTGAATGAATGGTGAGTAATGAGCCGGAGACAATAGAAAGTTTTCTAAATCCTTTCTTCAAAGTACTGATCATGACTCTCCACACTTTTCAGTCCTTTGTAGCTCTTAGTAAGATTTCTCTTTTTTTTTCTATCTCTCCTAATCCCTGTTCTGCCAACCATATACACAAGCCCCTTTAGTAGGTTTTACACTACTGTCCCTATTGCCTATAATATGCCCTATAAGCGCCGAATTTTCCCTCTCTCCTTATTATGTACCCTATAAATTTCAAATTTCTTTCTGATTCTAAGTATAACTGTCCTTTTTGTTTCCATTTTCTCTAAAACCACGCCGTTGCTCAAATTTTCAGTCGATAACATTGTAAACATCCTTCTGTAGAACCACATTTCTGTTGCCTCATGTCTCTTCGTCATCCGTAATGAGATTATCCAGTATATATTGCCATATCGGGTGGCCGATATTACATAATAGTTCAGTAATATTTTCTTTGTTTCTAACGAAATACACCTGTTTCTTAATATTTTGCTTAGCTTTTGGAAGGCATCTTTCGCTATCCTAATGAACTTTCGGATTTCGGAGTTTCATTTTCTGTCCTTTGTTATGCTAGTTAGTAAGCTCAAATTTCAAATACGCGCATTCACGCCAAAATAACAAGTTTTGTTTCATCATATAATCTAAGATCTTTTCGTTTTCTAAGAGACTCACAAATAATTGTATGCCTTTTCCACAAGTAAATCTAACCCTGACTATTTTATGCCGTTTTCAAAGCTTTAACTACTAAGCTATCCTTTCGACCATACTGAATTTGGGCACCCCCACTAAGTGACTCACTTTTCCATTAAATTTTTTTTCGTTTGTTTCTTTTTTAATGACAACGTCCTTTTTTTCTTGTAGCCAATATAATTCAGTCAGTTATATGCCATGCGTGATACACGCTTAGGCGATCATGTATCTTTCGATACATGACTGACGAGGCAGATTTTTTTCCGGCAGTAGGTTGCCATTTCTTTCTGCGGTAGACCAGTGATCTTACCCATAGCTGGTGGGGGGAGAAGAAGATTCATACCTTTCCCAAGAGTATTAACATGTAAGTTATTGTAATGGAATTGACTGGAATTCGAACTCGGCTCTCCGATTCCTCAATCCGAGACGCTATTCATTACTCCACCGTACCAATTCATTTTGATGCGCAAATCAATGATTGATTATCAGGGATCGATAAAAGTTTCTCTCCGGATTTTTTTTGGCTTCTGAATATCAAACGTTTCACTTTGGATTCTCTTGCGTCCTTCGTTTGTAAAATGGTATTTAGTTAACATTTTATTTTTATTTATATTGGTCATTTCTTATTTATATTGGTCATTTCTTATTTATATTGGTCATTTTTATTAGTGGAAACTATTGACATGTGATATAGCTCTTCATTCCTGCCTAGAATGTAACACGGTTGCCTTTTTTCCCCTTTTGAGGTCACTCTTCAAACTCGGTAAAAGCTAGGATTTTGAATGCTAATTTTGTCGGTCAGCAAGTGCTTCTCACCTGGGATATAAAACCTCAAATGTAAACAGGAAAGAAAAAGTTATCTTATGTTCCGAATGTAGATAATGTAAATACTAATAGTTAATTCATTTATTGATAATGTATTATTGATAATATTGATAATATATTATTGATAATATTGATAATGTAAATCTTAATAATACTGATAATTTCTCATCCCAGAAATTCATGCAGAATCTTTATTTTATAAAATTTTGCTTTTAATGCAAAATTTCTCACACTAAACATAACTGATTTGAAGTGAGATTTAAATCAAAGAATGCCACAATTAAAATGTAAAAGCCTTTTTTTTACTGATTTGTCTTTTACGGCTTTTTCTACTTTTACAGGTTATTTAAAGTCAAAAAGTATTTTTAGATTGTAGGAATTTTTTGAAAATAATAATGATTTACTGATACAAATCCTACTAATTAAACTATATCTGAAAGGGAGAAAAAATGGATTCATGCCTTTCCCAAGGGTATTTTTGTTCGGGTGAATATAACGAACCTGACTGGAATTGAAACTTGGCTCTCCAATTAACAATTCAAAGATTTCATCCATTACACCATCTGCACATCTAAGCTTACAGTACCTCTTATTATCAAGTAGTCACTCATCTAGTTAATGATCTGGCTCAGTGTTGCTTAACTTCTGTGATCGTACGAGAACCGGTTTTTCAACGTGATACTGTCGTAAGCAGAAAAAAGAGTATTGTTGTAAAGAAAGAAAGAAAGAATATGACTTTAAAGAAAGAAAGAAAGAAAGAAAGAAAGAAAGAAAATGACTTTAAAGAAAGAAAGAACGAAAGAAAGAAAGAAAGAAAGAAAGAAAGAAAGAAAGAAAATGACTTTAAAGAAAGAAAGAAAGAATATGACTTTAAAGAAAGAAAGAAAGAAAGAAAGAATATGACTTTAAAGAAAGAAAGAAAGAATATGACTTTAAAGAAAGAAAGAAAGAAAGAAAGAAAGAATATGACTTTAAAGAAAGAAAGAAAGAAAGAAAGAAAATGACTTTAAAGAAAGAAAGAAAGAATATGACTTTAAAGAAAGAAAGATGATAATTTGAGAGAAAGAAAATCTCTCTAGAAAGAAAAATGAAAGAATATAACTTGAAAGAAAGAAAAAAGAAAATATCTTGAAAAAAAAGAAACAGAGAAGGAAAAGAGATAACTTGAAAGAAAGACAGAAAGAAAAAAGAAGATAACTTGAAAGAAATAAAGAAAAAAGGTAATTAAAAGAAAGAGAGAACGAAAAACGATAAGAAAGACAAAGAAAAAAAAAGTAAAAGATGACTTGGGAGAAAGAAAGAAAAAAAACTAAAAGAATGAAAGAAAGAAAAAAGATAACTTGAAAGAAAGAGAGAAAGAAAAAAGTAAAAGATACTTTGAGAGAAAGAAAGGAAATAGAACATATCTTGAAAGAAAGTAAAAAAAATAGTTAAAAGAAAAAAGGAAAGAAAAAGATAAGTGAAAGAGAAAGAAAAAAGATAACTTTAAAAAAAAAGAAAGAAAAAGATGAAAGAAAGAAAAAAAGAACACACCTTGAAAGAAAAAAGATAAATTGAAAGAAAGAAAGAATATTTTGACAGTAAAAAGAAAAAAAAATGGTTGCTACCAAAAAAATCTCCCGAAATAACAAAATATAAAAATGTAGAAAATAAGAAATTATTAAAGGAAAAATGACCGCATTCTTTTGTAGAAAGAAAGAAAGAAAGAAGGAAATAAATAAATAAAGAAAGAAAGAAAGAAAGAAAGAAAGAAAGAAAGAAAGAAAGAAAGAAATAAAGAAGAGATATTCACAAATTAAGAAACAAAAAATTGAGGAATGACTCAAGTGAGCCACAATAAGAGCTTTTAGGCAAAAGCCTTCATTAAAGAGTTGCCGTGTTCTTTCGACCATTGACAAATCAGGCAGAAGACCTGGTCTTTCTGCGAACGGAACCTTCGCAATAACACCCAATTAATACCAACGGCGATCAACCCTCATCAACTGCATTTCACTTATTCCCGGCCCCACGAAATAACCTCGGTCTTTAATTAGTCTTGTCCAACACAATCATTCAAGTTTAACGGTTGATGGCGCCGGCCATTACTACCATCATTTTGGCGGGCTTCTTGCATGACTGGTTGTGAACTGATCTACTTCCGTTACTCTTCTAAGGCTCATTCCAAAATTAAAATAAGTGACATTTCTCAGCTCGTATTATTTTTGACCTTTTTTATTTATTTTTTTGTCCTCGAGGGCAAAACTGTTTAAGCTCGTTTTCTTGTATCTGCCCTCTTAGGCGTTTAGGCATGCTTAGTTTTGGCATAAGGCCACAAATACGATGCACCTAGTTAGGAGCAAACTCACTGCTGATGATTTGCAACTCCAGCTTTTTTTACCGTTACGCCATGATGATGTATATATGTGTTTATTCACCGATAGATTTGATATCCCCGTTGATTTTACACTTAGAAGGAATGACTGTTCTTTTATTGTCCTGTCTGTTTATTTCACTCTCAGTAACCCCTTGGATCCTAGTTTGTTTTTATTATTGCTGTTGTTTTTGTCTAGCGGAATACTAACCTCTATGAGTTATTTAATGCCGAATTTTTACGCAGTTTTATTTTGTTTTTTGAGATAATAATGGTTTTAGTGATACGTATCTTATTAATTAACCCATAGCTGCGGGAGAATAGGTGGATTCGTATCTTTTCCAAGAAAAAATACGTGTAAGGGAATATAACGAACCCAGCGGAATTAGAACTCCGCCCTCCGATTAACAATTCCAAGCCATTATCTGTTACACCACCCACACATCCAAGCACCTGGTATTCCCAAGGCTTCTCAGCCATCTAGATCCTGACCATTATGAATTTAAAAGCAATTCAAAAACAGCAGAAAGAAACTGACCCAAATGTTATCGGTGTCTCGCCACATACCCCCCCCTTTAAAGTACAACAGAATTTATAAAAGAAAATGTGTGTTCCTTTGCATACAATAAATTTACATACAAAGCGCAAAGGAAGAGTTCATTTCATAACACTGACCAGGTTCCACATTGCTTAACTTTGGTGATCGTTCCGGTGTTTCAAAATAATGTTGCCGTAAGCCACCTTGCACCATAATGGCTTTATTGTTTTGCTTAGGGTGAAATGATAAAGTAATAATAATAATAATATTAAAGGAAAGCATACAATCGTGATAATCTGTTTTAATCCGAACACTAACAATTGACTCGGTACTAATCTTACTGACGAAGCAAGTCTTATGACTGAGGATTCACGAAACTTTGTTTAATCTGCCACAAGGCTAAAAATGTGGAACACACAGTGAAGATCGAACTCCCTGCACAACAGTCACGCTTTGTCAGCTAGCTATAACTATATGGCGAATTCCCTTATTATAGATATTAACGCGGCTTGGACAAAATGTCTTAAACGTAGACTGCCCAATCAAGATTTAATCATTACGAAGCGCGCTAAAGCTATATAATACTAAAAATCTAATCTTGTATGTATGTATGCATGAGTTTTCCCGGGATACGGCTTAAACGATGCATGATACCCCTACCAATATAGGACCTTGTACCTTGAACACTAACCGAGTGAAGTGCGAAATTTCATTAAAATTAGACAAGGGGTTCTTCAGCTAGGACCGTTTTTACAGCATTTTTAATAGGAAATTCAATATTTCTTTCTGATACACATTTCTTATATAAATCCGACTATATAACCAAACATTGCATATTATATTCCAAATGTTATATGTATGAAAGATAATAAACACTTATAATATATTATAACAACATTATTAAATAAATTTAAATATATATAACACAACATATATTTGTACAATTCCCTTCACTACATTAATACTTTTTATAAACAAATATCTCTGATGTTTTGCAACTACTTGATAGGTGAATACGCTATGTGGGTGCGCCATTGTAAAATATAATCTGTATGACTAGAAAATTGTCTCACGTGATTTGATGGTAAATAAATAAATAAATAGATGAATCCTGGTTTGTCACCGTTACCTATTTTGAAATAAATGTGAAGAAGAAATAACTATGTATAATAAAAAAAATATAATGATTATTTTGAGAAAAATGACACTAAGTGCACAAAAAGGAGGCGCCCATACTTTATATGTTATTCCAATATATATGGATTTCTCTAACCAGACAGTCGTTGTTTCTTTTTTTTCACCTTTGAAAATTATATTGTAAATATCAAAATTGGTACAAATTGTCACCCCTATTACTTGAATGACAAGGACGTTAATGTAATATCAGTCTGCAATTCCATTTTAAAAAAAGTAAACTTTTTCTTATTAATTTTTTATTTTCTGTCTATATTTCTGAGATGAAGTATTGTAATTATTTACATTGTTCGAGCTGTTGTACTCACCTTTATTGCCAATATTCACGACGCAGTGAATGGCTCCAGGGAATAAAAGCGTTGGTTGGACTCGACCCAAAGTATTGTGAGTTTAATACCTGAACAAAAACTTGGAGAGTTGAGTTAAAGAGAGACAAGTAAGACATTTTGAAGAGGTATGGCACGTGGAACTAGAACAGTCAACCCCGTTGGACGAAATAAAGGGTTCAGTTCGAAATTCCAATCACCTGACGAAGGCCGAGGCGTACAACGGCCGAAACTGCGTGAATATGGCAATAAAGATGAAGACAACAGTCCGAACTATGTAAATAATGTAAATAATTTCTTATTGCGTTTGATCTAAGGAATGTTGTATAAAGTAAGTAATGATAATTATTGCAATAACTTGTATTGCAAATAAGAATTAAAATATATGTAATTAATAATAAATTTAATAATATCGCTGCCTCATCATTTTTTTTTTATCATGAATTGTTTTTAAAGGGGAAGAAAAACGAGTTTATGATTTAACCAATTAAATGTAAGGCGTTATTTATGATAATTTTAGATTCATTTAAATTTCCCCTAATTGATTCAGAAATATGGCTTCGTGCTAAATTTAATTTTCGCTAATAAATACCTGCCTGGATCCTGTAGCGCTTTTCGTTGATGATAATTGACAATACAACCTAGGGTAAATGGTTTCATGATTTTTAACTCACTTGCCGAACAAATCGGCTTTCGAACAGGAAATTCGAGGTCAAAATGCCTCGGTTATCGAACAAAATTTCGGTTCTCGAACAACATTGCCGAACCGAGCCGAACCGAGCCGAACCGAGTTAACTCGAACGGAATAATTTCTGAGTCGACCGCCATGTTGTATACATTCGTGTGTCGTGGCGTGATTTTCTTTTACAATTTTATTGTTATGTGACCCTTTTTCTCTATATTGATTCCTATTGGGAAAATAATTTCGGTTACGAACATTTCGGATTACGAACGGCCTTCAGGAATTAATTAATTTCGTAAACCGATGTTTCACTGTACCTATATAATAAATATATTATAAAAAATGGAAATGTATTAAAAATGCATATCTTTAATCTCACAGTTTTTATGAAAATTATAGGTAATTATAAAGGATATACCTTTTCAGCAATCCTGGAGTATATATTTCTCTGCAGTAAAAACTTCTTTCATATAATCCATATGAAGTAATCAACAAAAAAATAAAATTCATTACTTATTACAAAAACTAAAAATCTCTAATATGAACGCCACACACAAAAAAAATCAGCACACCAATGTTGTTTATGAAGTCATTTGCCCACTAAGAGAATAACACTTTAATAAGAATAAAAATTCAAATAACACATACATTGGTTACGCAATCACTACATGATCTAACCGGCTAACTTGCTATTTTTGCGAAATCTTCATTAAATCGTATATCACGAACCAACACAAAATAAATCACAAGAAATCCGATAAAACTCATCAAATTATACACAAACACTATAACATACAAGCTGTAAAAACAACTTCAATGTGTCGTGTCCCTTCAGGATGTTGGCGATCATAGTTCTCCACATCTTCCTGTCCTTTATAGCTCTTAATAAATTTTGTTTTTTGCCATTTGGAAATATTAAAAGCCTAAATCATAAAAAAAAAACGACTCAGAAGTAATAAAATTTCATTCAGTTTAGAAACAAACTTACTTGGCTTTCATGAATAACTGAACGAGAAAGTGGGCAGTCCTTAAAAGAGCAAATAGACTCTCACTGCAGTCGAGAGGTCAAAAGTGGTTTCTCCAATAAATTGGGACCTAGGCTCGAACCCCCGCCGGAAAGGCGCATTTCTTTTATTAAGTTTTCTCGAGGGTACATTAGGACTGAATAGTGAGTTCGATCCTCACTGGGTGCTTCACACTCTCGGCCGTGAGCCACATCTAAGTTTCGCTTAGAAAAACCTTTGGGCATCTCGGCGTGGTGTAATGGTTAGCAAGCTCGTCTCGCTAAAACCGTTACGACTGATTAGTGAGTTCGAACCACGCTGGGTGCTCCACATTTTTCGGTCTTGTGCCACATCTAAGCTACGCTTAGAAAATCACTTTAGAGCACCTCGGCGTCGTGTAATGGTTAGCAAGCTTCTCTCGCTAGAACAATTACGACTGAGTAGTGAGTTTGATTTTCACTGGGTGCTCCCTATTTTCGGCCTTGTGCCACATCTAAGCTATGCTTGGAAAATAAATATAGATGAGTGACCGCTTGGGAGTAGCAGATTCTGTAAACTTTCATGTGTAGGTGGTGTAATGGATAATGGCTCGAAATTGTTAATCCTAATCCACGTATTTGTCACCCACCAACTATGGGTTAATTAGTAAGACTTGTATAAGTAAATCATTATCATGTCAAAAAAAATCCTTACAATCTAATCTAAAAAATATTTTCTAGCTTTAAATAATCTGCAAATGGTTGATAAACCGTAAAAAACAAATCTACCATTCAATCTCATTATCTGTGAATTGCCAAG